GGGCGGGGCGGGGCGGGACGATAATACCGGCTAACTCCCGCCACCGCGGGCCGCCCTGCCGCCTCCTTCTTGCTGCACGTCGCCGTCGTCGACATCGTCGACGTTGTTGTGCCCGATTCGACACGCGCGCACCCGCGCCGCCGCCGCGCCCGGCACCTGCTCTGCTCGTGATGTGGCGGGGCGTGGCGTGGCGGGGCGAGGCGGGGCGGAGCGTGGCGGCCCACTCCAGGAGCAGTAAGTACAGTTCGGCGCCAAGCCCACCCTCACCTCACGCGCTGGGAACCACCGCATGCCAGGCGCCGGAGCGCGGAGAGTAACGCCCGCGCTGAACGGACAGCAACAACCGTGTGCGGCCACGGACACAGTCCGCGCAGGAACACTTGCCCGGAAAAGTTCCGGGCAAAAACTCAAATTCCCCAAATGTTCCATTTTCCCGGAAACTTTCAGATTTTTTTTCGGAAATTTTATACTTATACTCAAACACTCACCGATTTGGAACTCTAGGACGTTGTTTCCCCGCTGCTTGAGCCAAACGCAGCTGTACTTCTCCTCGCCGCTGTACAGAGAAGGAGAGAAAAAAACAGATAAGTGAAGTGTCTCCGGTTTAATTGACTCCTCTGATGATACCGGGTGGGCTTGAAAACCCCGTCCACCTTCGCAGTTATGCTGTACTGTAAAGTACGTCCGTTTTGCGCAGATTCATTTTGCAAATTACAGGAGCTCGGCGCCTGTGAGAATCAGGGTAGACCACCCCGCAGTACACGCATGCACTGCAGACAAGACGTTGCCTACCTACCAGGCGCCATGAGAGCTGGCAGGGTACGAAAAGGCAAATGACGGTCGTACGTTCTGGATGATCCGACAGGCTTTGACTTTACAATAGCGGACGAGATGTTTCAGCCGACTCTGTGTATAGTGTTTCTGCTGTAATAACTCACCACTGCGTCTTGTAGTACACGGGGAAGCGCTCCGCGCTCTGGCCCTGGTCCGGGCCGATGCAGCGCACCGAGTACGTCTTCATCTCGTTGTGGTCGCGGAACGTCAGCGAGTTGCGCTGCACCGACACGTGCTCCCACTTGCCCTGCGCCCACTGCGGGAACCTGCCGGGACACAAGTCGTCGTCATCACCATGGTCATGAACAAAGGTCATGGTCATCACCATCATTGTGGTCATGAACAAAGGTCATGGTCATCACCATCATTGTGGTCATGAAAATGTCCATGTCTATGAAAATGGTCGTGGTCATGAACATGGTCATGGTCAACACCATCATGGTAATGAACATGGCCATGAACATGGTTATGGTCATCACCATCATCGTAATGAACATGGTCATGAACATGGTCATGAACATGGTCATGAACATGGTCATGAACATGCTCATGGCCAGTCACTACCATGACTACATCGGGAGGGCTGGACTGGGCACTCACATGCAGGTGGCGGCCACGACCCTGGTCGGCCAGCTGTTGGCGGGCACCCTCCGCAGCGCCAGCGTCTCGTAGCCCTGGGTGGCCGAGTGCAGGTCCGTGGCGCACGTCGAGTCGCTCGAGAAGGCCATGTAGGTCATGCCCGTGGCCTCGTCCTCGCGGTACATCTGCGGGAAGGACAACAAGGACGTTAGTATATACACAAGGAGGGGCAAAAAAAGGCACACGGGACGGAGGAGGAGAGGCTGAACGAGAGGTGGGGGGGG